GGTTTTTTGAATGTCATTCATTTATCCTTGTGGCTGTATTCTGTCACTACTATAAAGCCTCTCTGCTCCTGCTTTTTTATTGATTCTTTCTCTATTGGGTTCTTGTTTTGACTGAATCAACAGAGCCATGTTCTGTTCTCATTCATGATTTGTCTCCAACATGAAGTATGAGGTGTTTGATCATTTTTCTCTCTTCTACTTTTTCTAAGTATCACAGAGATTACTCCTTCAAACTTGTCTAGTCTGACTTCTTTCTTCTGCTCCTTCTCCAGTCTTTCAGGCTTTTTCCTAGTCTTCTGTGCTTTGGGAGACTTCTGTGACTTGAATTAGCACAACTTTGAAAATAAACCCCAAATGCTAGGGCTCAGCCTTTAGCTGTTGGTCTCATTTCATCAGCTTTCCTTTAACTTTTCCCTATAACCTCTTGCTTTGTTGCAGTCTGTCCTATAAGGTTTTTTCTTTTTCCTCCAGATCTTTTGCACCACATCCTCTCACGACAGATGACTGCACTGTACTTTCCAGTGCCCCAAATTTTGTTCTCCCTCTAGTTCTCCTTTTTGTAGCCAGCACTCATATGACTTTCATCTCTTATCGACAGATCCACATTTTTAGCTTTGAATCCAAAACCTATGTGCATGTCTCTTATCTTTTGCCTTGAAAAAACCTCCTTCAGCCTCAGCCACCTCCTCTTCTCTGTTCTCCAGGGATTTGGCTGGATTGTCCCCTCAGCCATCGTGGGCTGCAGTGGGGGTGAAGGTGTAGCTCTGTTGTTCTTGATGACACCCTGCAGACTCACACAGGCTGAGCACCTCGCTTCTCACAGGGCATCAGCTCACCACTAACCCTTAGGGTGCCTGTAGCTGAGAAGAATGGCAAATGGATGTGTGCTGCTCTGATTTAATGCAAAGCATTAAATATTGAATGCTGTTATTCAAAATGTGTTTGCAGCCTGCCCAAATGTTAACATACTAAAACACCATTACAATAGTAGTTGCTATTCTTTCTGCCATATCCAGCACACTGGTAATTTGTAGGTTGGTGATCTCATGTGCTCTTGTACTATTCTTACTGCTCACCATTCCTGATCTTCTCAGATATATGTACAGGCTTTCCCATTCAAATTCAATTATTAATCTAGTAAGTGGTAACAAAACAACAGAGCTCACATATTTAAACTGTGTTGTCATGTAATAGTTATGTCTAGGGAACTGGCCTCTCAGATATAGTGACTATGGTGGCCTACAGCTGTTTTCTCCTGTATCTCTTTCTATAAAGCATTTACGAAAGTCTGTATCGTGATATCCTGCTCTCCTGGCTTTAGAGGAGTCATGAAGTATTTCTCATACTAGTGAGACAGACTGAACTCTGACGTTCCTCACTGTATCTGACTATAGTTTTTACTGGCACATTCACCACTAATTACATATCTGTATTTCACAGAACATTAGTTAAGCTAAAAATTAAACATAAGTCCCAGAGATTGTATTGTGGCCACATTAAGAATTTCTGGAGAGCATTCCATTAGGTTCTCAGTGCACTGTAGCCTTAAGATCTAATCAGTGTCCCTCTTTGAATTACATGGAACCCAAATAAGTTGTTATCCTAATCTGTGTATGATCTTAAAATATTTGACTTCCTGTAGCCACAATCAGCGCCGTGTCAAGCATTCTCATAGCAAAAGTACATTTGCAGAGAAATAAACCAAGTAATGGACCTGACAGGATGAACAACCACTTCCTTTTGCATAGATATTTTGTACATTTAAGGCTGCTGTGTGGCTCTGCCAGTAGAAAGTTCAAAATATAGTTTTAATTTTATTCCTTTTTTGTTCTCACAAGAGAATATATGAAAGTGAGATTTGCATTGAAGCAGTGGTAACAATTTTAGCAAAACTTAGGGTTTTGCTTGTGTTGTAACATGGATTCTCACAGTTTTGTCGGCAGTAAACATTGTTGGGGTCTTGGCCTTGAGGTGTGCCTTTGTACTCACCTCTAGGGTGCCTGAAATAGAAATATTTCGTAAACACAATAAAAGATAAATACTTCACTGTGTTGTGTTGGAAAATAACTGTGTTTTCAAAGTTTTAATGTTAACATTCTAAACACTGTGTTTACTTAAGTTAATGTCTTTTAAAGTGATTATGCCACTTTGAATTATGCCAGTGCTGTTTTCATAGTTTTTGAAATTGTGGTTTTGTAATGTGTCATAAAGCATATCTTAGTAGTCTTAGTGGGTCTTTGCTGCTTTTTCTCAGCTTGGATATGGCATAATGCCTCACTTGGTTTCCCAAATACTTTGCATGCTTGTGACCTGAGCTGGCTTTTAGATAACAAAATGCTGTAACCTCACATGAAAGGTGAGATGTGTTGTATGCTGTACTTTGTGATCTCTGTGTTCAGTGGCCAGATTGTTTGATTTGAATGTGCCCAGTATTTCACTCTGAAACCCCAGGCCGAGGAAGCCATTGGGAAGCTGTAAAATGCAGCTCTAACTTTCATGAATAATTCTTTCTGAAGTGAATGCTGGCAGTCCTGGGATGGGAGTGCTTCCATAGCAAACATAGCTTATGCAGGATATAAAATCTTGATTAGACTAGATCCATGAGACCAGGCTTATAACTTCACCATGACCTGATCTCGCTGAAGAGTCACACAGTCTGTGTGTCAAACTGCCGGAGAAATCTCTGGAAAGATCCCCCATGAGAGGGATAAATATAATGTGCTCCTACTGCTCCTGGACTGGATTATATCTTGGTTAACCCCGCTCCCTACTCCAGCAAAGCTTTGGGGAGAGATGGAATCAGACTTGGCCTCATCTTTGCGTACCACTTTGGGAAACACCTTGCTTTCACTTACTCCTGTATTTGTGGATTATTATCTTGATTTAGGATATGAAAGGAAGGGATACTCATTCCCCCCTTCACCTTTTGAACAGGATGCTTGTGATTTACAACTGCGATTGTTACATTAGCAATGTGGTCATGTGTAGAATAGTAAAGTGACTGTCCTTACAACAATTTCCCTTCTGTCTCCCTCCGGAAACCAGCAAACAGTACTATACCTTCTGCAAAAATACAGCATTGATTATAAGTGTTCTGGAGCTTGCTCTTGATGTTAGTGATGTCAGTACATCAGGAGGTGTTATAAACAATTAAATTAAATAAAACAAAACGTGGCATATTTTTAGCCTTCTTATTTGTAGAAGGAAAATGTGGATGGAAATCATTCAGCTCAGCCTATGTAGGTGGCTTTGCATTCAGTTTACAAGCCATAATCAAGCCTTATTCAATCCAAGTCTGAGTGGTCTTGAATTGCTTAAACCAATTATTAATTCATATTTTTTGCTTAGAAATCTCATTGTGGCATGTCTTTCTTCTTTTCTTTCCTTGCCTGTACAAAAACAAGTGTATAAGTGTAAGGCTATGTGGAGTCATCAGGCAACAGACATATGCTTTCCTGTGCTCTCCACAGGGCTTGCAGGTTCAAACACAACCTGCCTGAATCATAAGAACTTTAATTGAGTAGATAAAGAGGTCCTCATAATTATAAACTGCAGTAGGTATAACAAGAGGCTAAATACATAGCTGTGGTTTTAATTAGCTGGTGCTTCAAATTAGTAATTGTGGTTTCACTCAGAAATCAGTGACTTTATACACTGTTAAAGCCTCATCACTGTGCAGTTCATTCCTCATTATATCTCTCGGTGTGAAGCTTTCAATACAACGTCATGCTGAGCTAAAAAGGCAAAAATTGTAGATATTTGGTTATCTTCCAAGTGCAGTGGAGCTCTTTGGAGATTTAATTAATTCTCATCAGAAATAGGAGAATTAACTGGTTTTTGTTACAGGTGGAATGTGTGTGTTTGTATGTAAGCATCTGTACATATAGGCTGTGCGTGGATGTGTGCATGTAGAGCCGGGATCTGTCAGGGAGATTGTGCCTACTGCAGATAACATCAGGGCATGCACTGAATCTGCTATTCAAATTGTCATCTGGAATTCGGGAGCTAATTAACTGACACAAAGCAGAGTCAAAAGCCTCATAACAAATCAAATGCAGCTTGAAAGCACAAAAGTGTCCCTAAATGCTTGTCACATGAGAGGTTGTAAGTGCAAGTTGAAGTATGTATCTTTTCCTTTCCTCTTTCCTTTGCTATTTTTCCCTCTCCTCTAGGGTTTTAATTATATCTCTTCCCTCAGAGGAGCAGGAGGTAGTTAGCAGAGCCAAGAGACCTAAGTACTTCAGTGTTATTCAGGGGAGAAGTGAATGTGGTCTCTCAGCCTGTCATCTAGGTCTGGCAGGTGCACAAAGCAAGCTGACACCCAAATAAGTGCCACTCACCATTGCTACACTGAGGTGCTAGATCCTTTTCTGTGTTTATATGTAGAATTATCTGATACTGGAATCAATTATCCTAAAATCTCTTCCAGCAGCCTGCTTCTACAAAACACTCCTTAACCCCTCCTTGACATCTACAATGAAGCCATACATAAATTTTAAAAAGTAGTGGGACAGAATTAGGTGGCCTAAATCACACGAGGCTGAACTGGAGCCTTGGGATGGATGTTTAGTGTAATGGATTTGTAGATGTTACTGTGCTTCCTTGCCTTCACATTTGCTTTCCCTGCACAGACCCATGTTTTGTGGGCACACGTGTGTGCATTTGTGTGCAGGTCCATATGTGTTACAGGCTGTTAGTACAAGAATGTCAAAATGTATTTTATTCTTCTGCATAATACTCTGTTAATTTGTAAACAATATTTTTATTGTTTCATTGAAACACTTTCCATTTTAGAAGTGTTCTGACTTCCCTACTGCCCTATTTTGCATAGTTTTATAAATCCAAATTTAAATTCCGGGAAACTATTTGGTGGCTGTTTCTTTCAGAGTTATCCTCAGGAGTTGCATTGTTTCTGATGTTCTGTTGCTATTACTGATAGTAATAAATGTGTAACAAAATTATGGGGAAAATAATGTGTTGTCATTTTTGTCTTTCTTCAGTCACTATGAGCAAGACCGGAGTGCACTTAAGCGGAAAGAATGGGAGAGAAGAAACCAGGAAGTCCAGCAAGATGAAGATCTCTTTGCTTCAGGTTTTAACCTCTTTGGGGAACCCTACAAGGTAAATTACATTGTTACATTTTGGATTTTCAGAATATCTTACACAAGTACAAATAAAGCTTCTCATGACCTCTAAGAAACGGAAGTATTGCACCTGCCTTGATACTTATGCTCTTGAATACACTGATTATCCAAATCAGCATATGGCAGTAGAGCAAACTGAATGTGCTGCCCAGGTTGCATTGGCAGAATCAGGAATTTTGGTTACAGTCCAGGTCAAGATTTCTTCCTCTTAACATGCAGCAAAGTCCTGCAGTAGAAGTAATGTGCAGCTGGTATTTCTATAAGTGGGTTTGTACCTACAAAGCTAACACTAAGTTCTTTTATTTTTAGGAATAAAATATATCTGAGTTATTAAATCCAATGTCCTCTCTATAAATAATGAGTCCATAATCCTTCTTGTGCAATCACAACCATCCAAAGAAGTCTTTTGGGAGACAATCTTTGGGGAGCATAACAAGGGTATGAAAGGGACTTTTGTTAGAAGTCTTATTCTCTCTGAGGAGCTTTGCTTCCTGAGATTTTCATCACCAAGGGATGTCCCCCTTTATGATTTCTGCTGTTTTGATTTTCAGTAAGACACTCCCTAAAGAATTCATCAGAATGTAGATTGCCATATCTCTTTCTCCTCCCAATCAGTGGCATCCATTGAAAGACCACAACTTCATCTTTCCATTTTACTTTGTTAGCAGCTGTAAGGAGGATAGGGCCCTTTGAAAATCACACAAAAAGGAGGAGAAAAGACTAACATTATTATCAAATGGTTTCTAATAGTTATAGACCACGAAAGTGTGATGGATGCACTTGACTCCTGGCTGTACTTTGGTTCAGGCTGGATGAAGAGCAGCAGGCTTTTCTTCATTGGCATGAACTTGCCAGCTGGAAAGTCCCTGGCTCAGGTTCAAGGGAGTGAAGATGTCTTGACAAATATTTCAAAAGGTGGTTTTGAAACCCCGAAGTGGAAGATAACCAAAGTACAGAACAAGATATCAGAGCTAAGTGCAGATGTCTGCCTTGTCTATTCTGTTGATTAGCAGCCAACTACTTTACCCTGTAAATATCACCACTAGGATGAGCCCAGTTTAATCTCTCCCTGAAGTGCAGCTGCACTGCATCTCTCTGCTTGAGCAGGGATGCCTCTCAGGGGTAAAGATTCCTTCCTTACCCATGGCTGAGAGATCCCTTACCTGTGACAGATACTTGGTAAATGTCTGATACCATGCTGAATTAATCCTATGGAACATTACTAGTCCACATAGCTACTCAATATTATTGTAAATATTGTATGGATAATTCCATTAGACTAATGTAAGTGGTCATTTCAGGAGGTAGACCAGTAGGCAAAACACCGCAAAACTTTGTGGTAAGAACTAAAATCATACACCACCAATATCTATTGTATGGATAATAAGAATGACAATATCTGATTTTAGATGTATTTTGTGTGTGTATATTTGCACCAAATATACATAGTGCATTTGGTTTCTTTTCAAAAACTGAATTACTAAAAAACAAAAAAATTATCCTGATGGTCTTTGTGGGCAAATATTTTTTTTAGTTGCTTTTTACTTGGCAAAGAAGTTTGTAAACTTTATGTAATTAAGCAAAATACAATACAATACAGCCCTAAAAAACATTTTATAAATTGTGAAAGATAAAAATTGAGAGGAAATTGCATGCAAAAGTAGTTAAATAGTTAGTAGTTAAATCAGTCTTAAATTTGAAAGAAACAGGTTTAGCAAAACTAAATAGGAAAGCTAGGTCTTGCCTTTGCTTTACACTAGGAGAAAAAAAGGATAAAGTCATAGACCACTGTTTCCTTTTTAAGTTCTGCATTGCTAAGACCCAGCTACAGTAGAGTTTCCTGGGCACTAATAAAAGCTGAATCTCACTCTTAGTGGATATGTAGTGATTTTTATTCTTAAGTAAGTGCAAAATTAAATTCAGGGTTTGTTTGCAAACCATATTCAACATAATTTCACAGAATGAATAGATTGGAAGAGACCTCCAAGATCATCAAGTCCAACCCATGTCCCAACACCACAACTAGATCATGGCACCAAGTGATTTTAAACACATCCAGGGATGGTGACTCAACCACCTTCCCCAGCAGACCATTCCAGTATTTTAACATTCTTTCCGTGAAAAACTTTTCCCTAATGTCCAACCTATATTTCCCTTGGTGCAGCTTGAGACTGTGTCCTCCGGTTCTGTCAGTTGTTGCCTGGGAGAAAAGACTGACCCTCACAATAGTACAAACCTTTCAGGAAGTTGTAGAGAGTGATAAGGTCACCTCTGAGTCTCCTTTTCTCCAGGCTAAACACCCCCAGCTCCCTCAGCCATTCCTCACAGGGTTTGTGTTCCCAGCCCCTCACCAGCCTCGTTGCCTCCTCTGGACACGCTGAAGTGTCTCAATGTCCTTCCCAAACTGAGGGGCCCAGAACTGGACTCAGCACTCGAGGTTCAGCCTCACCAGTGCCGAGTACAGGGGGAGAATGACCTCCCTGCTCCTGCTGGCCACACCATTCCTGATCCAGGCCAGGGGCCATTGGCCTTCTTGGCTACCAGGGCACTGCTGGCTCTGACGGCTGTCACCAGCACCCCCAGGTCCTGGCAGGGCACTGTCCAGCCACACTGTCCCCAGCCTGTAGCACTGCAGGGGGTTATTGTGACCAAAATGCAGGACCCAGCACTTGGACTTATTAAACTTTATCCCATCAGACTCTGCCCATCCCTCCAACCATTGCTGGTCTCTCTGCAGACCCCTCCTGCTTTCCAGTAGATCAACACATGCTCCCAGCTTAGTGTCATCTGCAAATTTACTAATGAAGGATTCATTACCATGTCATCAATAAAGATATTGAACAGAACTGGCCCCAGCACAGACCCCTGAGGGACACCATTGGTGACTGGCTGCCAGCTGGATGCAGCACCGTTCACCACCGCTCTCTGGGCCCGGCCAGTTCCTAACCCAGCACAGAGTGCTCCTGTCCAAGCCGAGGGCTGCCAGCTTTTCCAGGGGTATGCTGTGGGATACAGTGTCAAAGGCCTTGCTGAAGTCCAAATAGACAACATCCACAGCCTTTCCTGCATCCACCAGGCGGGTCACCTGGTCATAAAAGGAGATCAGGTTGGTTAAACACAACCTACCCCTCCTAAACCCATGCTGGCTGGGTCAGATACCCTGGCCATCCTGTAAGTGCTGCATGATGGCACTCAATATAAACTGCTCCATTACCTGACCAGGTACTGAGGTCAGGCTGACTGGTCTGTAATTACCAGGATCCTCCTTCCACCCTTTTTGTGAATGGGTGTCACATTGGCCAGCTTCCAGTCATCTGGAACCTCCCCAGTGAGCCAGGACTGTCCATAAATGACGGAGAGCGGCTTGGCAAGCTCATCTGCCAGCTCCCTCATCACCCTGGGATGGATCCCATCTGGGCCCATCTTGAATTTATGAATATCCAGAGAGTCTCAGCAGTTCTGGGACTGCCTCCTCCTGGATAACAGGGGGACCATTCTGCTTCCAGACACCATCTACCAACCCAAGAGGACAGTTGTCCTGAGGACAAGCCATCTTCCCACTAAAGTCTGAGGCAAAGAAGGCGTTGAGCCCTTCCGCCTTCTCCTCATCTGCAGTTACTAAGTTCCCTCCCTCACTGAATAAGGAACAAAGGCTGCTCTTACCCTTCCTTTCACCATTAATATATTTGTAAAAGCATTTTTTATTATCCTTAACAAAAGTTGCCAATATAAGTTCAAACTGAGCTTTGGCCTCTCGTAATTTTTTCCTACATGCCCTAGCAACCTCCTTGAATACTTAAAACATAGTTTAAAGCCCTCTCTGAGTTCTACCAGTTCAAGAGCTAAAATCCTTCTGCCCTTAACAGAGAGATGCAGCCCATCCAGTTCCAGCAGAACAGGTGCCATAAAAGTTGCCCCATGATCAAAGAACCCAAAATTCTGCCGATGACACCAACCCCTGAGCCACTTGTTGAAAATGTGGGCTCTCCTGTTCCTTTCAATGTTTTTCTCAGTCACCAGAGGGACTGAGCAGAACACTACCTGTGCTCCAGCCTTATCAACCACTTGACCCAGTGCCCTACCATCCTTTGTTATTGTCCTGACACTCCTCTTTTCAATCTCGTCACTGCCAGCCTGGAGCATCAGCAGTGGGTAATAATCACAGGGCTGAATCAGCCCAAGGAGTCCCTCAGTGATATCCCATACCCGGGCCCCAGGGAGGCAGCAGACCTCCCTGTGGGATAGGGCTGGTTGACATATGTGAGGCCCTGTACTCCCTTCAGAAGGGACTCACCCACTACAACCACCCTTCTTTTCTTTTTGATGTCAGAGGTGGTGATCCATCCTACAGATTAAGCATTATTGAGAGGCCCACTAGGCAGATAATTTTCTTCTAAATCATCTGGCTGACCCTCTAGATCCAGGGTCTCACACCTCTTCTGAAGTGGCACCTGGATAGGGGATGGGGGTTGGGAGGAATTTTTATTATTACCTCCCCGAGCAGGGACCCATTTCCACTCCCCTTCATCAACGAGGTGTCCTCTGACTCCTGGTGGGCCTCTGTCAAGGATGGAAGGGCAGAACTCCACCAGTCTATTTTCCTTTTACTTTCCCCAATACTCCTTAGTCTTTCAACTTCCTCCCTAAGCTTGGCCACCAGCGAAAGGAGATTGTTCAGCTGCTCACACCGCAGGCAGGCTTCTTCTGCAATGGCCTCTGGAACCACTGATAGGCTCAAACACTCTGCACAGGAATGGGTCTGGACAGACACATTTTATTCTAAAACAAAATGAAGAGATCCTGACATGAGAACAAATATCCTGCAGGTGCACTTTGAATTTCTTCTCTATTTTGAGATGACCAGATGCTTCTGTGGTTGTGAGACTCAAGGCCTTGCACACACAAGAAGCTGCACGTGTCTCTTCTGGTCACACTCAGTGGGAGCAGAGGCAGATAAAATAGTGCCAGCAATGTGTTGTGACCTGTGGTGGGAACAAAGTCCACATCCTCACTGGTCTGCCTGTGCTGATGAGCATCAGCTCATGGTACAATTGGTACATTTCTGAAGGATCTGGGGGTGGGAGCCAACATGGAGACTACAGTGACAAAGAGAAAGTTGGGAATAGCAGGTCTCAGGAAACAGGAAACATCTCTTTTCCTTTCTTTTATTCCCAGACCTTGTGTCCTTACTTGTTTATAATTTCTTCCTCATTTGCTTCAACAGTATCCAGAGGGGGAGCTGTCAGTGTAGGGCATACCACCCCTGCTGTTTCTGAAGTTTTAAGGACTGAACAACTGGCAGCTGTTTTAAGACAGCACTAAGAAATTGAGGATATTAAAAGTTGCACAGAGAAAGGAGATCAGATTTTCTCATGGAGCCTACTGCCATTGTGTATCATGAGATGTATGGAGTATCTGCCTTCATCTCTCAGCTCTAGCTGTCAAAGCCTCTTTCTTTCCCGCTGTCAAATAAAACACAGGTGTTCATTATAGTTTTGGACAAATGCATATTTCTACATTGATTCTTTGTAGTTTATGTATGTGTGCACTTACATGAAAAGAGATACTTATTTCTGTGGGTGTATAAAATACATTTTTCCATGCTTGTTAAATGTCTCCTTTTGAAGCTCCACTGTCTCATATGGGAAAACAACACCTTTGGCAATGTGATGACATCCAGCATTATTCTGGGAAGGTCAGGCAGTAAGGGTTGTGTTGTTCTTTAATGCAAGTGGGTTGCAGGTCCTGCCTTCGAACCCTGGTGCAACCTGCTCACACTTGATTTTGTGGAAGGGATCAGAGAAGGGCCTGGAGTGTAACAGCAACAGACATCTGAAAAAGCAATGTTGGAGTTTTCCTGAGAGAAGCTGTAATTTTACTGCTGAATTGTTGATACCTTTTAATGTTTTGAATTACACAGAGATGAGGATTTTAAAAGAAAACGGTAGGAGTATTTTTGTTACTTTTCAAAGGAATTGCCTCAGGAGAGTTCAGCTTGAGAAAGAGAGCCCAATGGGCAGTATTTCCATTGTGGAGCTCTTGGTGAACATTAAATCATTTATCTTTCTCAGGTAAAACCCCTCCATGCTTTTCAAGCTTAGCATAAAAAGGATCTCAGCTTGTAATCTGTGGAGGTTAGTTAAACTATGAGGCATAAGGAAGTGAATGAATTATGAAACTTCAAGTTTCACACAAATTTTCACAAAACACTTATAAATGGGGCCTCTAAGTTTGAGTGCATTAGTTCTTTTCTTTGTAAAACTATAATGCAATACCTAGCTAGCAAATTAGTCTTCCAGTAGGATTCTATTACAGATAGCTTCTGAAAGAAATAGAAGCAAATGCAGGAAGATGTACATTTCCTAAATTAACAGAAGCCTAGAATGAAGGGGAATGCTACTAGCCATGAGTCGTAAACCAGGCATATAATTTATGCCTTGGAATACTCAAAATGCAGCATTTCCTTGATAGCAACAAAACATTGATTCAGCATGCTGTTCAAAAAATAACATGTACTGAGGTTTTCTTCAAGAAATCAGCCAATTATCCAGCATATGAAGATAGAAATTGTCTACAGTCTGGAAGTAACAAAGAGCAAGCAGAAATTTTGACTGGATTTTGTGTTTCTCTTGCTGGTATCCAGGCTTGTCAGGAATCTGGTGTGTCTTGTGAGGACCCTGAATTTGTTGTGGGAGTAAAATAAAAACATTAATGTTATGCCTTATGTCTTAAATGCAGATAGAGCACTGTGCTACATTTCTGAGCTTGTTCAGATTTTGATGTGATGTCTAAGTCTGATCTTAGTTGTGTAAGCCAAATTACCATTAATAATCGTTTTTTTGCTTTGCAGTCTTGTCCAAAGGTCACTGAAGAGAGTAATTATCCTTCCATTGACTTCAGTAACCATTGGATGAGCTTTAGTGTACTTAAAGTACACTAAAGATGTTTAAAATAATTTAAATATAAATATATTAATAGTAAATATATTTTTATTAATGTTCCCTGTAAAAGACTATGAATAATAATAATAATAATAATAATAATAATAATAATAATACCTAACCTTTATACAATGTCTTTTATCCCCAGGATGTGAACACTAGGCATAAAATAGAGTTAATATCAAGCAAAGTTATATTTATCATCATGTGACATGTAAAAATAAAACACATTGAGAGAATTAGGTACCTCCAACATAAAATTATTGAAAAGATCTACTTTCAAGTTTAAACATTTTCTCTGTGAGGATCTAGACAAGAGCCATTTCGTGTGCTGGGATGCTGAAGTGTTACGGTTATGATATGTTGTCAGTTTGTTTTGTTTTTTTTAACTTGTGCTTTCTGGAAAGTAAGCTAAATGCTCCCTGGAAGTGTAGCTGAACTGCAGAGGTGAAGGTTGGTAGTCAGGCTTTTTTTGATACTGTTATTTCCCATGTTCTATCCCATAAGGAGTTAAAGTGGCCAAGGAGGAAACAGAACAAGTATGTAAGTGTTTAGACTTAGAATCACAGTTCCTGCTGGGCTCTTAAGCACAATGGAATCTCCTTGTTTTAAATCTGGGGATTGAACAGAGAAAGCCTGGTTTTGGCTGCTGTCCAAGCAGCTCATTGTGCAACTCAGTTGAAGGAGACTGCTCATATACAAAGAGCTTATTCTTGGTTTAGTTAGAATATAATTTTTGCCACTAAAATGACCAACCTAGGGACTGACTTTGTGAATTAAAGTGATTTGTGGTTCTCCACAAGTGGGATTATTAACTGTGTCACTTAGGAGCACTGGCAAAATGTATAGAGATGGGAACAACATTGAGCAGTTAGTTTTTAAATCACTGACTCAGTGCAGTACTAATATATGTTACAATTTCTGAGAATAAGAAAAAGGAAACTTGCATTTATTATCTTCTTTTTTTTAAACATTTTTATGGTGTGTTCAGTACTCTTCTTATCCTCTGACTGGTTCAGCAGTGGCTAATATAAGCAGATATTTCAGGAGAAATCCACGCATGAATGTTTTTCATCACTCAAACTTCTCTTTAATAGTTGAGGAAAATGAGATTGGGGCATAGTAGGATCCCTCACCAAAGAATTGTGACACTCTCTAACCAGGCACAAGCTCCTAATGCTGATTTTCCCCATCTTTATGGCCTGGTGTTAAGGCGCCATTGGACTGTGGCACTACTTGTTTTATGGAGTGAAAAAGCCCCTCTAAACAGAGGTAGAGTTGGCTGTATCATGACATAACTTTGGTATTATTTCCAGACTGTAGAAGTGAACCATCTGCCTGAACAGCACTGTAGTTTGGCTTTGTTTTTATCCTTTGAGTCTTGTAAAGCCATGAGCATGGGGAATAAGATGTTTTAGTTCTCTGCTGGTCACTTCAATGGAACAGAAAGGTCACTAGGAAGGCTACTGCTTTGCATCTCTGTGGGGTGAGCTAGAACAGGAAGAGAGAGGAAATCAGCTGTGTATTAATTATAGCTTCCAGCTTATTTTGTCCAGCTTTTTACAAGTGAAAGGGAAAAGGAAAAAGAGACTTCATGCTTCAAAAGGAAAAGTATAATAGCAGTGAAACAAAGATGACTCAGTATTTATTTAATATTTACTGGAAATTAAAGAAAATCAGGATTAAGAAATACAACCACCCTGCAGACAGTGGAAGAATCCCAGTGCTTAAGAATGTGGCAATCATGTCTGTTTATGTTCTATTAGAAAATATTTTTGAAGGATCTTTCAGTTGAACGTACCATAGCATGTGGGAGAAGCTTTTACTTCTCTGGATTCAGATGGTAGATACTTCAGGTCAAACTGTACTTTCTGTGGAAAAGTAATTGAAGTTAAATTGGAGCGAAGAGTTTGGTGCTATTACAGACTACCCATCTTCTATTCGTGGCAGGACTGTGGGTCAAGGGGCTGACAGAGCAATACCATATTTATATCAACTGTGTGATTACAATCCAAGTGCTCAGTAGCCAGTAATTGTATGTTCTTGTTTTGCACCATATGAAATGTACAAGCCCAATGTCTCTGAATAAACCCAGCCTATTTTGTACCTAACATCCATAACTGATGCAATTTAAACACTTCTCTGAGAACATATTTAAGAAAATGGGAAGCAGTAGATGCAAGCCTGTTTCAAGAGATTCTTTGAACACAGTTATTGATAGATTTTTCTTACATAACATGCAAAATGTAATTGAAATTTAATTAAATGTCAGCATGACACCATTAAACAGCTAACATTTGCCATCTTCTAAGACAACTATTCTGAACAGTAACTTGTATATCAGAAATTTACTCACGCTTTTCTTGTATTTTTTTTTTCTTTTTTTCTTTTTTTTTTTAGACAAATAAAGGCGATGCCCTTGCAAACCGTGTCCAGAACACATTGGGAAATTATGATGAGATGAAGGATCTGTTAACCAACCACTCCAACCAGAGCCACCTTGTAGGAATCCCAAAGAATTCTGTCCCACAGACACCCATTGACAAAAATGAACAGAACTTTTTCCCAGAACCAAGGAACAGGATGATCCCATCTCATCAGATCAGCGGCAACTCATCAACATCAATGCCTCCACCTTCTTCATTGTCATCTAACTCTACTTTGCTACACAGCCACCAGAGCAGCAGGAAGTCAAGGACAGACTGGTCACGCAGTGGTCACAACCCCAGTGGGGCCCAACCAAGCCAATCCAGTGGCCAGCAGAGTCGGACAAAGCACAGCTCTTCTCATGACCAGTCACAGGGCAGGTATGAAGATCTCTATAATTGCCAGAGTGAGCAGCATAAAAGTGGGGGAACTGAGGAAGCAAATGCTATGGCAACATCTTCACATTCGAGGAGGCACACTCATGCAAAGTCAGCTCCTGGAGAACACACTTATAAAGAAAACAGTCATTCGAAGTCACCCACAGAGCTTGAGTTTGTAGGCCATGGTCCTGGATCTCCACTTCCTTCCACTTCTTTGTTAACTGCAAATAATGGTCTTTCAACTCAGAATTTCCCACCAGGACTTCACTGTAAAAACAGCATGGTCCAGCAGAAGCCTACGGCTTATGTCAGGCCTATGGATGGTCAGGACCAGGTACCCAATGACTCACCCGAACTGAAACCCCCAATAGAAATTGAAAGTGGATATGGAAATCAGTCTTTTGGAACTCTGCTGGAAGGAAAAGTGAATACACCTAGTTCGAAGAACAAAGTACCAAAGCTCAACATTCCTCCTGTTAGTGAAGTAAGTGGTTTAAAATATCTTCTCTCTAGTACTGCTTGAGAATTACATTCACTAAATATTTTTCTCTGGAAATACGCAGTTGCATTTACTGGAATTACAGTGTAAAACATTCCTTTTTCTAGAGTGTGCATGACTTCTTTTGGCAGTTTGTTGTGATAGTAGTCCCAGTAGCAATATTTAATGTAGTTTTTAAAGCACAGTTTGGAATGCTAACATTTCTTGTTTATGATTAATATTAAAAGGCTGGATCTCTGTTGGGTGTAATATATGTATACCAGCTATCCCAGTTCTGGACGGAGAAATCTAATATCTCAGTTCATCTGCAATTTTCACTCTTGAATTCTCAGTTAGTAGGTAGTTTGATAGATAGATTGCTGTTTGAAACTCTAAGGAAAAATGTTCAAATTTCAGTGGTACTAAACAGTCCTGCCAGTAAGGAGTTTATTTTCAGAGTTTGCTAAATTCTGTTTCTTCTTTTTATTTGAATTAATGTGACTTAAGTTGTGAATAATGCTTATGAAAATGTGTCCCATTGAAGCTTTTATTCATTTTGAAGAGCTCTTAATACTGGGATTCAGTCCCAATCTCTGCAATCAGCCATTTAAGCTGTTGAATTTTGTATTGCTGGTCAGAACAGTAGTCCTGTGAGGAACATTTTAGTTGGTTCATATTCGTGTCCATTCCAAGCACAAATGTATAATAAAGATATGGACTGAACTATTTATACTCTGTATATATTTTCTCTTAGTCTGATTTTTTCTAAACCAGTAACCTTTGGAAGGTAGGTGTACAGTGTACATATGAGAAGAATTGCAAGATGGGTTTTTCATAGCTTTCTGTTTTCCCAAAAATATTTCCCTGCTTGGTAATATTTTTATGCTAGGAATGAGGAGCGATGCATTCTTAAACCACTTTATTGCAAAAGGTCAGCTTTTTCTATTGCAATGATTGTTTCAAGCCAATAATTTGTTTGACTATTTAAAAACTTGATGTTATTTATTAACATTCCAGGCAGCAACAAAGACTGATGTGTTTTGCAGTAGAGCTTGGAATAATTTTCTGGGAACTGCATCTGAAAACAGTAAAAGGCCTATTTATATCAAGTGGAAGCTGAGGGTTGCTTGCAGATGGTGTTTTATTAGAAAATGTATTTGTTAATAAACGTAGCTTTCTGCAAGATTACTTTACAGATGTTTCTGTTTATTTTTACCTTGGGTTAAAAATCTGCTAGTGTAGATGACTTCAGAGTCTGCTGCGATTTGTCGCTAGCATTGTTTGGCAAGTAAATAATTGCATGCAGAGGAAATAATGATGTTGCAAAAACATTTTTTCGCTCTTGCCATCTATTAATGCTATGAGTCAACAGAAGCACTTTAAAGTGCAGCATTAATGCATAGTATCTTTGGAAATAAAATGTACCTTTTGCAATTGGGGTCAACTATTAAGAATAGAATATTAAGGATGCATTTTTAATTTCTGTGCTTTTTAAGTGAAATCCTTGCACTATGAAATTGATTGAGTTGTTAACAATATTTTTTGGGTTCACAACTTCACCCACATTCTTCTTGCATAGCTATAGGAACCTCTGATATGAACTGTTGTTTTTGGAAACATTCCTAGTTGCAAAGATGAAAAATTGAATTGTGAATTTGTTGCTGCTTATATCCTCTGTAGTGAAAAGTATAGATGCTTAATTAATTTCATATATGTTTAGATAAATGGTAAACTAGGAAATTTAGAAATGAAAGTAGATAATAATATTAAAGCAGTCTGCATTTTGAGAGTGAATGGTAAGTTAAAGAGGGAAAGAAAACCCAAAGCTTTGACAAAATAACTTTCCTTTTTGAGACAGAACACAGGATAATGACTAGACTGATGGATCTTTTACAGGCAAATCTCCTCCTGAGTTTTGGGGGTTGGATTTTTTTGCCTGTGTCAGGACTGTGAACTTTGGCCCTCTGTGTTTTTCCACAGATGTGTATCCTGAATTTGATTTAGCTTGCGTTTGGCTATAAAACTCCTTCCAATCCAACATTATAGATAACTGGTTTAGTTTAAGCTTAATCAGAACTGACAGTGCACACCTGTGAAACCCATAACCTTTTCAGAATGACTGCAGTGAGTGGCTCTGTTGTAATCTTTCTACAATTGATGTGAAGGCATATGATCCTTTGGTGGTGCTTATCAATTTATGAACCTTCCCAAGCCACCTTGAGCCATAGTGATCTGTTTGAAACAATTTTGTTCCTACTCTACAGGTTTCCATTTTAACAGTGTTCCAGGTGATGGTGGTGATCTTCAAGCTAGCGATAGGAGAGTTACTGTTTTGGGGCATTTCTTCATAATTTTTTTTGTCGTTTTCCTGTATATCTGAGTCCATTTTTTCAAGTTGCTGAGTTTATGCAGATAGTATGCACACCAAAAGGTTTTCAGTGAGTGTTGGAAAACAAAAAGAATGTTCTTGCTATCTTACAGAGAGAGAGGGGAATAAGTAACGAAATATTTGAACAAGCAGATTTAAAAGAAGTGCTCAGACTGATGTGGAAATATGGTGTTATTTATCATGGCTTAATGGAATAACATGTTGAGTGCCCTGGAAGTGTTCTGCCATGTGTAAGGAAGTGATCAATTTTATAACATAATTTGTGTCACTTGAGGTGCTGCTCTAAGAATCTCAGCTCATTTGCTGGGCCAAATTCTGCCATCAAAGATGCCCATCCATCTTTCAGCTCCTCTGGAGCAGACAGCATTGTTAATGCCTCGCTGCTGGTGTCTCTCTGCTGGGCAAGGGATCATGGGTTAATGATTTCCAAGATCATAGAGATTCACAGTGAGTTCACACAGACTCACCAGGTTGGGTCAGGAGGTAGAGTTAGCACCTCTTACACACCTGTGGACTAATCTTTGCCTCTGAGTGGGTGCTGCTGCGTGATTTCCAGACCTTGGCTTGCTCACACAAAGCTAGTTCAGACTACACCATGAGTGGCCATTTCTGGTAGAGAAACAGAAAAAGCCTCTGTAAACTTATTGTTATGTCATGGAAGGGTTTCTTTGTGATTTTGTGATCCTACTGATTTCTTTTTACCTTTTTGCTATGTTTTTCATATCAATATTGTTTTCTAAGGGTGAAGGTGAAACCTTTTATAGTTTGATGCCTACCCAGGCCTGGTAGCCCCTGAGATTCAGAAGTTGTGGAGCAGATCTTCATGAACTGGGAAACCATGGGGCCATCATGTGAGTTCCTGGGGCACATGCAGAAATCCACCAGATCTCATGACATAGAGTTGATAGCAATGGCCTTGGAGCTAAAACTGGGATAGAAAGCCTCAACCTGTAAACATTATTTCTTATTCCTTTCCTGTTAACTCTTGTCTCTTTAGTATGTATTTACATGCATACTTACATGCTCACGCATATATACTAATTTTGAGCTTGCATTTAACATTTGATAAATTGTAGCAAGTTGGGAATATTGCAAAGTACTTTTGTATTATGCAGAATTCCACCTACTTAAATCCTGTGAAATGGCAGATGATTGTTACTTACCACTTGAAGAGAGCTGCGTATGTAAATCCTATGCATTTCTTAAAAAAAGTAGATGTTAGAGACCACAGTAACAGCTGATCCTCTCTCTGCTGCTTTAAAATCCAGAATCTTCATATATGTATGTATATTTAAACCTCTAGGAATCAGATGCTTACAAATTATTTCAAATTGACTAACACAGCAGGTGATAGCTGAAAGAAAGCCTGTACTTTTCAGACTGGGCTCAAGCAAAAATTACTGAGAGCACTGAGCAAAGCAGAGGGTTTTAAGGTCTGTGGGAAGATCAGAAGCTGCATTCCTGGAAAACTTTATGCCTAGTTCCCTAGAACAATGCATGGATTTCCAATAAATATTTAGGGATGGGGAATCAAGAGCAATTGAGATATTTTTTTGATTCTCAAGGCAGAGTTTTAAATCTTACTACAGAATTGGCTTCGTGTTCCTGCAAAGTTGCAAATGCTCATGTACGAAATTTTCCCGAAAATACAAAGTTAGAAACAAATCCAAAGGGCCTACGACATCTATGTCACCACCCACTTAAGGAATAAAAAATTGAGAACTTCTATTTTCACTTTACTTCTAGGAAAATATTTTGACGGGTTCAGTATACTGCAAAGTGATAAGCTTCTGTTACGTGTTTCAAATCATTCTGTTATCACTGCATGTATTGATTTGCTTAGTGCTTTCTGAGCTAGCCATAAAAAAAGGCTGTTCTCCTTCTGCATTAAAGAGTAAGAAAAATTGACAGGTAGATAACCATATTGATTCAACCTAAATAGTAAATGCAAGAGGCTTATATATGAATTATAAAACTCTCTGTAGGAACCAAATACCTTCTTTCTTTTTAAATGTAATAGAAAGTAGATGCCTTTAACCAGTCTTTTTGTACCCCTTTTTGATATACATGCTACTCTACTTGCCAGCTGTAGTACATGTAGTTCTGGGCAAATCACTTTTTTCAAATGCCAGCTTTAGCTGTCCCCCCAGCTTCGAGCTTGGAAGAAGAATGGACTGAATCACGCATTAAGAAGAAATCCCTTTGCTTGGCTCATATTTCAAAAGTCTGAGGCCAAAAAAAAAAACCCAAAGAGCAGTGTTTCTTGCAGTATTAGAGGTTACAGACATATGTTTTTAATTTGTAAATACTGTGAGAAGTAATGTTCTTATGATACTTCTAAATGAAGACCATATGACACCATGTTATTGTGGCCTTTTGGAGGCTACTGTCCGATAGCCTGGACAATGGCTAGCAAAGCTGTTTTGCTGGAATAGCAAGAGGACAGCTTGTCTATTTTAAATCAAACACAGATAAGCATATTTAGGGTCTGATTTTGAACCACTGTGACCAGTGGGAAGTCTGCATTTCAGAACAGGGCACTTAAGTTGCTTGAATAAGTGTGGCTAAAAGAACTGACATTGTGTGTTTGGTTTGGGGAAAGAGGGGTTAGGTTTCT